TGTTACTATACTACACACACACACACACACACACACACACACACACACAGTTACTTCACATTAATTACAGGAAGTTCTCACAATATTGTAAACTTAGCCAAACTCCAGTTGGATTATGCCCCTCCCTAAGGGGGAAGAGTCACTGAGGATGCTCATCCATTACAGACAAGCCAAGTAGACAAGCCTGAACCATCACAGGCATCATCAAAGATAGTTGATTTGACCTCAGCCATCAATCAACAGACACCTACAGTGGTGTTAGGAAGGCTCAATTAAGTCAAGAAAACAAAGAAATCAAAAGTTTCAGAATAGCAGCCGTGTTAGTCTGTATCCGCAAAAAGAAGAAATTTGTTAGTCTCTAAGGTGCCACAAGTACTCCTGTTCTTCTTTTTAAAGAAATCAAAATGTCTAATGGAGACCAAAAATACGGCAGAAGCCTAACACTACTCTTGAACTTTAAGAAGAAAGGAAAATCCTTTACAATAGAAATAAAAAAGGGAAAATGCTACATTTTCCTCGAAGAGGACCAGTGGGGATAGTGGTGGGCACAGAGGTAGGCAGAGTTTGTGTCCAGCCTCAACTGGCAATGTTATCTGAAAAATTTCAAAGAGCAGACACCCACCTGGAAATACATGCAGGCAATACTCAAAGAAGAATGTAGGTTTATAATGGAATACCCTTCTCAATTTTAGCCATAGCAGTTTCTATTGGTATATACTAACACTTTAAATTTTTAATCATTTCATTGGTCATGAAATGCCCGATTAATAGGACTGGAAACTTGAATCCTCTATTTATCCATAAAATAAAGGCACTAGGCAGCAAAAGCTTCCTATAAACTAAACTTTGCAGACAACAACAATAAATTTAGAACGTGATAAATGACTTTCAGAAGCTGAGACTTTTTTAATGTTAGTTAATCTCTGTTTTGTTCTCTCTCGAACCTATTACCTTGGTTAAAAGATTATTGTAACTTTTGGGGCAAGGTACTGCATTTCTAAGGTAATATAGTTTAAGTTGTGACTAGTACGATGAGGAGAAAAGAGAAATCAGAGAAAGAAAATGACAAAGGTTACTATACTTACAGATAATTTCTCAGACAAATGCACCAAAAAAGGCGTTTCACTTAAGAGCTGACAATCAAAACAATTTGAAACAACAAAAATGAAAGATGTTTCTAATGAGTCAGGCAAGTAAACAATTAGCATAAAACCTATAGTGAACTCACTTTCTAGTGATCAAGAAATGACCCATTCTAATATTTTAGACTATTTCTTTATATCTAAATAAAAACTCTGATTTGGAACTATTAAAATAAGACCTTTTAAACTTGAGATGCTCATTAGAATGTTGCTCTGATGTTACTTGAGCAGGTCTGAATTTACAAATTATCCACTTCCGTTTACCCCAATTTTAAAAGTTATTAAACTTAAATAAAGCCCTGAAGAGAGAGAGAGAGAGAGAGAAATTCAAGGTCTAAGATAAAAGACACAAACATGAAAAGATGACTAAATGTTCAGCTTTTATTTTTAGTACAGTTGCCCTTTCTTAGGTTGTAAGAAGTGCTGATTATATGCTAATTAAAATAGAAATGCTTAAAGTTAAGATGAGAAAATAAAGGATGGTATCAATGTAAGAAATCAAAGTCTTTGTTTCGATGCTCTTTAATTTAGAAATTAGATATTCGGAAGATCATGCAGACTTAGCTAAAGATGCATGCTATTTGCATTTTACGATTTTGTTTCAAAAAGCATACGGGAATAGCTCCAAAGAGCAGGCTTTTTTTTTTTTTTTTATGGATTCTATAGTAACAGGTTCTCT